CTCTCCAAATGGACGAATTATATCCACGGATGGCAACAGAGGTTTATTGTCCTCAAAGACGGAACTCTCACTTATTACAAGTCGGCCGAAGAGACGGCTTTCGGCTGCAGAGGAGCCGTCACTATAGTTAAGGCACAGATCAAGGTATGCACTCGTGGTGTTGTTGTTGTCTCTGTTACTCACTCTTTGCCATCACTCTTGGGATTAGTTGCATGAGTTCGATGACTGTCGCTTCGATGTCGGCGTTTCCGACTGTGTCTGGTATTTGAGGGCCCAATCCATCGATGAACGCAACCAATGGGTCGACGCCATCGAAACGCATAGGGTTTGTCTCACATCTCATCCCATTTAGTGATACACTTATTAATCTATTTGTTTATCTATTGATTAATAAAGCAATACAACGATAGCGCGTATGGAAGCGATGGCAGTCTTCGCCGACACGGATCAGCCGTCTCTTTAGGCTCTGTTAGTATGACGTCTATTAAGAGTAACAGAGGATTGAAGGAGAAGTTGAACGAAATCGAGACATTCAGAGATATATTATGCCAACAGGTCTTACATTCAAAACAATACGTTTTTGTTGTTTGTTTTTTGTGAACAATTAATGAATTGATTAATTGAACGATAGGTCGAAACATTGCAAACATATTTCGATGTCTGCGCTCAAGGGATTGGCATTAATCACAAACTCAATGGTAATCCACCTGTTGTTGTATTGTTTGCTTTATATAACAATTTTCTTAATTAATTGTTTGATAATTGTTTTTTCAACTGAACAAACAGTTGATGTAATATTTAAAACATTTGATATTTTCGTTTATAATATATTAATTAGTACTTTAAATGTGTTTACGACAAGAATACATATAATGAATTGTTTTTGTTCATTCAAATGCATGTCTTTTAGTGTTAATTGCTTTAAGTGTAAGAGTAGAAGAAGTAGTAAGAAATATACACATAATCTGTTTAATGAATTGAATTTTTAAATAATTATCTAATATTTTAGGTATAAATGAGTGCGAAGACAGTGATATGGATTTGGGATACAATGATATTACAAGTATTAAATATACTCACAAACCATTTACTAATACTAACACAAATAGATTGATATTAATATGTAATTAATGGCACGAATATTAACCATTAGACCATTCAAACGGATTAACCAAAGATGTAGCTAAAGAATTGGCACCGATTTCAATGGATCTGAAGAGAGACGCGATTACGTTTAAGGCGACCACCGCTGGCATAATCGCAACGCTCTCTCACTGTATAGAACTTATGCATCAAAGAGAAGACAATTGGAAGCGAAGGCTCGAGAAAGAGATGGAAAAGAGGAAACGATTGGAGGATTTGATAAAACAAAGTCAATTGGAATCGAACCAACAGAACGTGATTGTGATCGGAGGGCCCGACTATGAAGAGGGGCCGCACAGTATGATCAAAGAGGACGAGTTTTTTGACGCCGTGGACGCGGCCCTCGACCGCAACGAACAACAGGACGAAGAGAGACGGCAACTGAAACTCGTCACTCGCGATATGGACGCCCCGTCGCCCACATTGCCCTCCATTTGCGGCCATCCCTTGTGGTCAGAGATCGAAAGAGTGACAACCGATCAGTTGTATTACTCGCGGCTCGAGATCGGAGAGGGAGGGCCTAAAGGGTGGGAACTGTTCGCAGAAGACGGCGAAATGAGACTTTATAAGAGAGAACTAGAAGTGGACGGATTGGTTTGCGACCCATTGAAAGCCGTGCACACCGTTAAAGGCATATCCGGACACGAGATGTGTTATCACTTTTTTAGTCCAGACGTTCGGTTCGATTGGGAGAACACATTAGAGTCGATGAAAGTTGTGGAAGAAATAAATCCCAATTCATTGATTTTCCATCAAATCCACAAAAGGGTTTGGCCCGCGGCTCAGAGGGACACTGTCTTCTGGTCACACATCCGACGCCATCAACAAACCGATGACAACCAAAATACTATTAATCCAAACAACGTATGGATTGTATGCAATAACTCTACCGATAGGCCAGATATATCGGTAATGAGCATAAGATTTGCAATTCATTTGTAATCAGTTTTTAACTCTTATATAAACTGTTTCAACAGTTGGGTCGATGTCTGCGGATGACAATGACTGTGAGTCTGGTTTGCGAGACATATATCGATCCATTGCCAGCAGAAGGCAAAGAAATAACGAGAGATAACTTAAAATGCAAAATAATCTATTGCTCAACGAGTGAGTATTCAAACAGTTTTTGTATTATTTTTCTTATTTAAAGATTGAATTGAGAATATAATTGTTTAAAAGTAGTTTTGAAAACTATTTTTGCTCAAATACCCCGTTGTCTGTCGATAGTGAGTGCACAACAACTTGACTGAACTCCCGCTGACCATAGAGTTTAAGCTAACACTCCATCAAAAAATACTTGTTTTTTAAATTGATTCTTGTTTTGCTATTTGTTTTCTTATAAAATCTTGTTTCAATCTTTATATTATTTGATAACTTATTAACAAATAGATTGTATATTAATGTGTTTTGTATTGTACGTGTATTTGCAGTAAACCCGGGCGGATGGGCGCCGGCATCTGTTTTGCGTGCATTATATAAGAGAGAATATCCAAAATTTTTAAAGCGTTTCACTCAATACGTCAAAGATGTGACTGAAGGCAAAGACATATTGCTTTGAAATCATAGTATAAGTTATTTTAATGGATTATTTCAATCATTTATAATTAACTTTTAGGTATAATTTCTTTCTCTTTTGTTCAAAGTTATAATTTTTACAAATAAGTTATAATTGAAAATAAGTTAAATTAATGATAAATATATAATTTACATTTGATTGTTATAAATATACATTTATTGTAATATTAATAATAATAATATGTTTTATTTTTATTCTAAGCTCTAATATAGGCCTAACTTTATGGCCGATAAACTATTGGCAGAAAAATATTAAATATAAGTTAATTTTTTGTGAAAAGCTTTAATTTTTAAATAAAATAAAATATGAATTAATTGTAAATTCATAGTAAATCATAAGCATTAAGTGTGGCTTTACTTTTGAAAAATCATGTATTCATTAAAATGTCTTATAAATCAAATAAATTAATGAATTGTTTGCTACGATTGTTAACAACTAAACAAAATAAATGTTAAATAATAGTTATAATAAAAAGGCTTTTATAATGTAACGAATATGTGTTAATTAAATGTAAGCATTTGTTGAACGTATTTGTAATGTCTATATTAGGTGTGTTGAATGGCTTTGGGCACTACTGTTGCCAGAATTAGCATGTGTTTGGTGTAAATCGGGATCACTTTTGCAATGCGGTGGTCATTGATCCCACAAATGGAGTCCACAAATAAATTGTAAATCAAAAGATGATTCTCTATATTACAGCACATTTATTCTCGAATGCATTTTATTTCTGGTTTGTATTCAAAAACTATATTTAAAAGCCATGAATAAACTTTCGACTAAATCGTTATATATATACACATATTATAAATGCGTTTATATATAAGTCCGCAAATGTAATGCCAGTCAAACGGGATTTGTTTGCATTGCATCCACTGTTTTGCACAAAACTCCATCACTTCGGGCGCTATTACTCCTAATAACCAAAAAACTTGAATTAATCGTACATTTTATCCACTTTTTTCTTCTCTACGCCCTTTGAATTGAAGCCCAATTCGCGCTCAAATAATCTAAACTCAAACTAAACTGTTTTTGGAAATATTATTTTTGTTAATATATATCGCTTTAAATTATATGTATTTTTATATCAATTTCCTGCACAATTAAGTTATTAACTTTCTTTAAATACATTTCAGATTATATTTTGGTACCAATTTTGTTGTTGTTATTAATTATAACAGATTTAGCGATTTGTAAAAACTTATTCATTATACAGTGCGCTGTAATGAACACGGTATAAATTACACTAACTTACTTACAGCGTAACTGTAACACACTGTATACCTGTACTGTACGGGACATTCATTATTTGGTTATCTCACACAAAAATAATTAACACTTATTTTTCTCGCAATTTATAAAGTTTTTAATTATTTAAGTGAAAGAACACGAAAATAATTGTCAAACCAAATAAAGTTGTAAAAAATATTATATAAAATTGAAAATTGGGTTAAATGTTAAGTCCTGAGCATCAGAGGCAGAGGCGACCTTCTCATCCCCTCCAGCATTGCTGGTCTCCAAGTCTTACAGTTTTAGCCAAAAATCCAGTTTCAAATATAAAGTTACTATAAATAACTTATTAAATTGAATAAACAGTATTATTATTTAATGAATACTAGTTACACAACTTAAATGCCATAATATGTGTACAAAGTATACGCAGAAAAAAACTGGAGAAACAATAAGATTGAGATTCACTTTTTGAACGGTATAATTGATTGACAAATAAGCCCATTATGTAATGGATTGTAATTAAACAGTGATTTGTAGTAAATGTCAGGTCTTTCGGTCAGACAACTCACAACTCTCAGTGATCAACAAATCATATGTTTTTAAACGTCTTAATTGAAAAAGATTTAGTCAAATGAGGGTCAATGCATGCCATGAATGCAATCAATTGAAGCAATGAATGCAATAATGTTTAGCAGAATATAAGGCAAATGAGGTTGACTTGACTGAGAGATCACTTCAATAAGAAAAAAACTTCCAAACATTGCTTTGTATTACACATGATATGTGTTTTGCAGTTTGTGTTCATTTAATTAGAAAACTTTTAGCATTACGTTTAGCGTTAGGTTTTGAGGTTATACTCAAACCTCGAGCACCCAATGAAGTGACCCGAGTATTGGAGTATTGGTTGTGTTGTTGGGCTGACTGAACCTGAATGCCAATCGGCTCAACAATCATCGGCCTGATCTCGATTCAGCTCATCATACCATTGCATTTGCCATACATTTTGCCACACATTGCCAAACATCACACATAACTATCACATTCGCACCGTTACTCCATTCGCATCGACCCATAAACGTGTGATCGTTGAACAGAGAGAAAGTTACCACTTATTTGTTCACATCTAGTCCTCAACTACTATCGGTTCCCAAACTGTACCATAACTCTGCCCCTAAACTATACCGTATATCCAGTGTATGAGTTGCCAAACACTTTCCATCCGCTCTCTCAACTCATTTCTCAACTATTTTTATTTTGCAAATTCATTAAATTGTTTGAACAGTTAATAATGTGTTTTGTTAGGAAAAAAAGTATTTACTAATAATTAAGTTTTAGTTAAGGGAGTGCAGTGCACGGCACCGGTGCCATCACTTCAACCATCCTCTACTATCACTCATCGCTATCACTAAACTTTGAATGTATTCACTTCTTTGAGGGTAAGTCATGTCCGCATAACTCAATCTTTACAAATTTATTATAACAACTAATTGTTTGTTTGGTATCTATTTTTAACACTCAATAAAAGCAATATATTGTCTATTTTATGAAAGTTATAGAATTAATATTTGATAAAAATTTATTGAAATAATAAATAAACGTTATTTAGAAATTAAACTACTTTTGTTCCTTTAGACAAATTTATAATGAAGTATAATTTATCATAACTTTTCATGTCATGTTAATGTTAGTGAACTAACTTTTCTATAAACAGCAGTTAATATACTCTTCTATAGAATAATGTGTGTAAAACTCCTACAGAATAATCAAAGCATCACTAAATCTAAATAACCATTTAAAAGACAAATTAGATCATGAGTCATAAATTGTAATTGATAAAGTAAACATAATTTATTAAGTATTAATAGTTGGTATATCAATACTAATTTATGTCTGCATTACTATTAAATCAAAAATTAAACAGAGCATCTTATTTATCAACAATAATAATAAATATTAAAATTTGATAATCTATAAAAATTATGATAAAATCATTATAATAAAATACCCAAATTCCCCAAAGATATACCGCACCATATGATGAATGTCATTGCATCATATTGTACAGTACATATGAATAAAATTTTACGGAGTAAAAAATGATTCATCTAAATTTTAAGATAAATATCAATAAACATACACTAGATAATACATGTATCTCACAATATGAATATGAGTCAGAATTTATTATTATGTTAAATATTAACGAAATTATAGCAACTATTGCAATGATTAAAACAAAAGATATTATAACTATAAAAGTGTTGCATATTTTGTGCTTTGAAAGAGGTTTCCAAACATAGCAAATCTTCAATAGTAACATTTTACTTTTAATATTTTATGTTCCGGATTATACATGGATCGGCTTATCTTTGGGGAATTAAGGTATTTTAAATGTGAGTAAAATAGTGCTATAATTTGAATAATTATAACACTATATACAATATGAAATACTTTTTACTAATTCCATATGAATATAGTATTTATTATTAATAATAATTTATTATAAATGTTAAAGAGTTATAAACTTTTTGTGGTAAACATATTACATGTTAATTGCATATTCATAAATTTTCATGAAAATAGTCTGGAATCCAGACTCTAGATGAAAAAATAGCAAAAATATCACTTCAGCTTGGTAATCATATTCATATTTTATATCATGCAAAGTGTTATGTGTCTAACAGGTGGGCTGTTTGTTATTATTTGAATTTTCATGAAAACCTTGTTAATGAAATGTAAATAATAATTATAATAATTTCTATAATGAATATAAAATACAACTAATG